TCTTTTGTATTTGTTCAGTTATGCTTGAGCTCGCTATTTTGATCCATGAGATTCGATTTTCTTATTTTAGGTTCTGATAACCGGCTTCACATCGTCCCTCCTGAGTTTGTGGTATTCCATTCGCCCGATTAGCTCGTTCCATTTGTTCATTCCAACGGAGAATTGGTTGCTAAATCTAATAACAGACACGTTTATCTCAAATCCTACCCGGTGTGCACACTCGCATTGTTTGGATTGTACTCGACGAATACTGGCATTCTGGGCTTTGATCCAGCGACTTGTGCTCTCCGGATTGACGGATAATTTGTTCATCACATCCCTGCTCCTCATCCGTGCCGGTTTAAACGTCTCGGATTCCACATCGTTCCCGCTTGCTCATCTACTCAATTTGTTCAATGCTGTGTGTGGGTCGATGCAAGCTGAAATTCGTTCCGGTCAACGCGCAACGAACGTAGAAAGTGTTGTCCCAATACCACTTCATGCCACTCACCAGAGTATGAACAACACCGGTTGGAGTGGTCTGCTTACTTGGTACTACATGCAGCAGGTTCACGGAGAAAGCACATCTATAACGGAGCAATCGAAAACTTGTCGTCGATCAGAATTCATACGCAAAGCTGAATCCCTGCTCAGAAAATACGGCCGCACCAAAGTAACGAATTCTCGTCCACGCACCGAATCTTCTGGTAAGCATAGAAACATCGAAACCTGTTATATGTACCAATTCATCTCCCTTGGCGATTACTAAATTCACGGTATACTACGGGTGTAGACTTTGCTCTTTTGTGCAAGCTACTAGCAAATGCAATTCAAACGTGTATTGGTATTCTGTCATTGTCCTCATGGTAAACCTTAAGCGCGCTATTGGTATTGGTTAGCGTCACGAAGTCTTGAGAACATTCCTCCCTAACTTCAAAAGCAGATGTAAAAAAATCAGCTCTATTGTTTGTCCTCTGCATAGCCCCCATTGAAACAGAATCATAAGCAATTTTAATGACTGAGCTGCAATCTTGGCAACTCGATTAGATAAAGGAAAATAGTGACTCATCAAACGCTGAAATTTTCGATCAACGAGGATGTGTTTGGATGGATTGGAGATAAGATAAGTGGGAGGTACGGGAGCGGAAGTGTGTATAATATAAAATTGGTAGCCATCAGGTTTCAGAGATCGATAAGAATAAGTTAAGCTCGTGGATTGAAGATGTTCGTGACGTTGGTTATTGATCTACTCGGTTTCCTTCATACTTCGAAAGCTGACTCCTTTAAGAGAGACCAACATCCGTGAACAGTAAGCCAGATTCCGTCATGAACGTGGATCTACTGACCCACTTTTTATATTGCATCAGGTCCTTGAGCTGCGTCTCACCCACCGTCGACTCACGTTTTCAGTGTTCCTTACTCTGAAGGAAGCCTTCGATCTAGTTGACCGCGAAGGTCGGATTGGTTCCCTTCTTAGAAAAGGAGTACTGCAGAAGTACGCTGGCTTATTGAGGTCACTATACTCACATACCTCTAATCGAGTAAGAGTTTATAACGAACTAAGTAGGCCGCTCACATTTTCAAGGCTCGAGTAGCATATGCAGTACTGAAACACCGTTGGTGTGGACGCGATGTTTCACTGAACTTGAAAGGTCATGTATATAGTGCTACCGTTCGTTCAATCCCGCTTTATTGTTGTGAGACCTTAAATTTGCAAGTAGAAGATATCCATCGGCTCAGAGTTTTCGATGATTAGTGTTTATTTAGTTTAGCCAACGTGGGATGGAGAGAACGAGTTCGCAATCCGTCGTGTATGTAAGTTTATCCGGCATAAAGTCACTAGCTCATTGAACTCCTACGTGTTACATATTCGACAGTCGCCGTTTCTTTCCCAATGTTCGAATTCTGGTGCTCGAGCATGAATTGTCTTCCAAAGTGAACCAGTATTACGGAGGACCGCAGACGATATGATAGCAAATGCACGTCAAATTTATGTGTGCGCGCATGTGGGTTCACTCAGTAATCTCACCCGGTATTGTAAGTCGGTGTGTTGTAGTTCGTGCTGTGTAGGTGGTTAGCTCGATTTAGTCGTCACTTTTTGTAATAGTAAAGTACACACATTTAACGGTTTCATTTTCTCCATAAATAATTTCATATTTTTATTTATTTCAGAAACGAATGCGAAACACAGCGAAAACACAAAGGATGTTACGTTCCCGCTCGGCGCGTTGTTTATGAAAGGATTGATGATGTCACGTCTTCAGTCTCTGATCCGTCGCGTAAGTTGAGACATCCGTTCTCAAATCGTATCCTCATTCTCGATCACATTCGTGAACCGGTTGACCTCGACAAGAAACATTTCACTTCCCTGTATTCAAACTATTATCCTTGCATTTGTATTCTGCTTTTTGCTCGCTTGCCTTTGGTTATCTAGTTATTCTGTCAGAAAGGAAAAAAAGTGTAGCTAAACAATATACTTTGAGTTGCATTAAGATAACGGTTCAAAATCTGGTAAGTGAGTAAAATTTGAGTACCGGCACGAGCACCGCTGTTCACGGCGTTCTCATCAACTTTAGGTCTGAGATCCCCAACCGGTAATTCCAAATAAACATAGAAAGCCTTTTCCCGTGATCTG